GGAAAACGCAATATTAGAGCATTTAGCAAATTTTTAAATGCATATGGTATTACTGCCAAAAGATTGAGAAAAATAGGGAGTAAACATGCTTCTAGAGTTCATGGTAGTCAAAATCCAACGGCCCAACATCTTAGTTTACTTTGTAGAATTGCAATGAGACATAAGATCGACCGTTTTGATTCTGGAACTTATTATGCTGAGGGTGACACTGATTCCGATACTGATACTGATACTGAACCCGAACCTAAATCTCAGCCTAAGAATAATAATCCTTTTGATGCCCAAATCGCAGAAATAGATTCTATGTTAGCAGAAATGCGAAGTTAGACTATTAGTATCGGTTCCAGTGAAATCTCTTTTCAAGATGAGATAGAACTTGCCTTAAAAGTTCATCTGATGGGGGTGCTTGTCCCAGAATTTGTTCGCAAATTATGTGTCTTGAGTCGGAGACTCGTGGCTTTGCCACTGACACTAGCTCCGCTATTCCAGTACCTAAGCAGAAGAATGATGAAGTCGAGGATATTATAAACTTATACAATTACTAATCACGCTTCTTTACTTTCATCATATATCTAGTTATTAATTATCAGATATGATAGCATCCACACTCTGTGAGTCACTATCGAATAAACCATAAGTTTCAAATTTTTTTATGCAATGTATCTTACAGTGACCAAAATCTTCATCAATACAACAATGATTTCTACAACAACCTAGTTTATTTAGTATATGTTTTCCACAATAACTTCCTAAATTAGGATCATGAAATAATTTATTACATTCCTGACATTTATCAAAGTAATCTAGAAATTTACTTTTATTAAGTTTTTTTACTAACTTTTTTATATAACGGAATTCGTTCGTTTTTTCATAATCTCTAGGTATATCATCATCCGAGGAATCAGGGATTCGAGGCTTTGCCTTATCAAGGTACTTCACTGAAAAATTAATTCCGGCATCTTTCATTGCTTTAAAATCAAAAATTTGATCCATATCGTATTTGTGAAAACTTGAGAATTCTATATAATAATAATAATAAAATTAATTGTGCAAATATCAAACCCTCATGAGGATTTATTCATATGTTTACTAATCGCGCTTCTTCACTTTTATTGCAGAGCAGGCCATTAGGCGATGAATTGGAAATTCGAGACTTTGTCTCTTCTTCGAATCATGGCTTTCGCCTACCACGTCTACAGTAAAATCTTCATCATCATTAGACGATTCAGACTCAGACCCAGATGAGGATGAGGACTCAGATGCGGTATCATTAGAAGATGTGGAACAGACCTGTCATTAGATGAGCTGGTTGCAAAATTAAGCGTGGTTGAGAATATCAAAAAAATAAATGATATATGCGTCTAAATTAATTATCTGAACATTAGTTATTTCTGATATATACTAATTAGCAATGCCTAATTTACTTAATCTTCTTCCACCAGAATTAATACCATTCATAACGAAGTATCTTCCGATCCAAGATCTTAAAAATTGCTGTAGTTTAAATGATATATGGAAAACCGAAGTGATTAGAGAAATTCGCAAAAGATTAATAGTGGATTGTACATTCGTTAATAGAAAAACAACTGTCAAAGCGCTAATTGACCCTAAATCCAAGTACGGTAGTATCAGTAAAGCACTTGCCCAAAAAATGGGTTTATATATTACTAGAATGTATGGATCTAAATACCCAGCAGTAGAAGACCTTGGTATTGGCGCAACAAATGCTGGCAAGAAAGTAATGAGGAGGGGTTGGGTTGATAGAGAAAAAGTTTCTGTCACTTTGCCAAATATTTTTGAATTGGGAAAATTAAAATCCTTACCTCGATATTTAAACGAAACATTTACTAATTTCGTAGTTATTGACAAACCTGAATATGACTTAGTTTTAGGAAGTTCATGGCTAACAGGTCGAGGAATTGATATTGATTTCTACGGATATAAAATATGCAGGAATGAGCTTTGGGAAAAAAAGGGAAAATGTTATTGGAGAGAAGATAGTATAGAAATATTACCTCGTTCATTACATATATTCTATGAAATGTTATTCCCCAAATTAATCAGAATAGATAGAGATGGAGATATAATTTTAACTTGTTTTTCTGATAAAAATATGAAGAATAGCCTGATTGATCTAAGTGAATATTACGATTCAGAATACTCTGAAACGGAGTCTGAATCTAGCGATTATTCAGATGATGAATTCTCCGATTCTGATCTACCTCCACTTGTTCCAGATCCATTAAGGGTATCTCGAAGCGTTATCTTTACCGGTGGACCTATCATTTACATTCTAAAATAATAGTATACAACTATTTAGTCGCATATAAAAATAATTTTCAATGTTATCATAATAAGTGTTTCTTATCTGAAAATGCGTCTGTATGTATTGTTGTACGATTAAGCTTTTTTTGACGTCATCCAGGAGATATTTTCTAGAATTTCCGGTGATATTAAATGTATTCATATTCATAATTTATGTACCTTGGCACTAGCTCTGCTATAATAAATATTGTATATTTTTTTTTCTTTTAGCAGGTTCCAGATCAAGCGAATGAAACACTATAAATAAGGTGGATTTGTGAGGCTTCATTTCTTATCTTATCGAATTTTTTTTTTGAAGGTATGTATAGCGAAGCTAGTGTCTTGACACATAATATCTACGCAAATGTTACAAAGTTTCTTTTTATCCTTGAAAACGAAATTCTACTCACTATGGTTCTCCATATTTAGGAAAAACAAAATGGCTAATGGTATTAGTCTCAATTGCCTCGTAATTCCAAGTGAGTCGCTCGATATTCTTTCACGGCATAGTGTTATTACGCTTGATATCCTCACTGATAAAAAAGTCGACAAGTTAAGACCTATGATTAAGGAACGGTGGCCATCTTTGTTTGAGAATATTCTTCCTCATGAATTCGTTCTTCGTAAGATTGATAATAATGTAACTACATCTACTAGCCAGCAAATTGAATTGTATAAAAATGGGTATGGTGAGAATGGTGATGAAATGTTTCCGGATCAATTAATTTCTAAGCATTTTAATATACAACCTCCCAATGACAAAATTCATATTATTGTACAAGTAAATACCCAACCCCCCCATTAGTAATAGTGGATATGTATTTTATTTACGTCTGCAGTATGTAACTGCGATATGATTTTTTTTATTTTTATGTTGTTATTTCGGCAACATTTTTATTTCGTAAAATAAAGCAAGATTTTATGAGACCAAGGTGTCATAGCATAAGTGAGTATCTTTCATGATCAGAAAGGCTATTATAATAATTATGCATGTATGCAGATAGTTGATTAGAATCAATTTCTTGTTTTTGTTCTTGCAGAATATTTTTCGAAAAAGAACTCCTTCCCAAATCTCTTTAAGGAAAATTAAATGATCGTTGCTATGAAAAACATAAGTACTAAGCTTTATGTTAATGTAAATCATTAAAGACAAAATTCACAGTTTATTGATTCTTGAGAATATTATGCAATTAGGGAAGCTACAAATAATAGATATACTTATAATGTAATCCTACAAACAAGCCTGATAAATGAAATAAGTGAATAACTATTGCTGAATTACGCTATATCCAAACTCTTCCACTCCTCTCAATGCCTGTTGTTTCTGGTTTTCTAACGAAAATACTTCTACACCATTACGAAGTAATACATAGTTTGAAATCCAAGATATCATAAAACTCTGAGCACCTCCAACTACCAAACGTGGTACATTAGCGTTGTTGACAGTATCCCTTAAGGTTATACTGTTTGGAATTTGAATTGGGATGTCTTGGTTATTTACGAAGTAAATTCTTGCTATATTAAAATCAATTCTTTCAATTCTCATTAGGAGATTGTCTTCGAAGCTAACGACGTTAATATTGTCAATTTTATAGGAAAACGAGCCTTTGAACATCATCGTAGCAGTTGCTGTCATTATTTATATAATAATAATAGTAGTTAGTTTCAAAGCAAGACAGAGGCTATAAAGTTATCAACACCTATTATACATATACGTACATGTTTTTAAGAAATAAATTTTTTTTGAATTACGTTTTGTTATTAAAAATTTTATATTATTAGTTAGTATCTGGTATGTTATTGTTATAGTTGAAAATTCAACTGCGCCATTAACACAAATTTTTTAATTGGTTGTAATTGTGTGTCATCTCTAAATTTGGTTAGCTCTCCGATTCCCGAATCTTACTATTACCTAGGGGTAAGTAAATAAGTGGGGGGACAACTCGATGTTACACATATAGATTTTGTGAATCCAAAACTGTCACGCAC